ATTTCAGAAGAATATCAACTAAAATCTTTAAGAAGATTTTTTAAGTATAAAATCTTCTACTTACAAGAATATAATTTTTTCGGTGAATTTTTATTTATAAATTTAATAATTAAAAAAGAACGATGCGAGAGCTATTACCGTCACCCCCTAAAATGAAAGAAATGAGACACGAATGTTGAGTGCTGGAGATTTTTTGTTATATTAATTGCACTTAAAATTCTACATTGTTAGATTGTTTTCGTGCATACACCGAAAAAATTATATTCTTGTAAGTAGAAGATTTTATACTTAAAACATCTTCTTAAAGATTTTAGATGATATTCTTCTGAAATTAAGAATATATTCTTTATTTAAAAATATATTCTTAATTTATTCTTTATTTAAAAATATATTCTTAATTTAAGAATATAGTCTTTTTCGATAGTGAGATATATATGTTTTTCTATAGAGGCTTTTTATATTCTAATCAGCATATATAGTATTCTTATCAATATTACTATTTAAAGGATTTTTCTCTTAAAATAAGAAACTCTTCTTGGCGCTTATTTTAGTACAAAATATACTTAAAGTAAATGGGATATCTCCTCAAAACAAGAATACAATTTTTTCGGTGTAACTTTTCAGGATTTATTTAATATTTTAAATAAAATTGCTTAGGGTGACATTAATTGGACAGGTGACAGGTAATTGGGTCTTTTGCCCTACGACGGATTTTCTTCCCCGGGTTCCCTGTATAATTTAGCGGCGATTCGTTTTTGCGCAGATGCACGAAGTTGCACCACGTGCGACAAGGTCCTGGCCGAATTGGAGAAAATCGACGACGACACGGACCACTTTGGAGTCGATTTTGTCAAGATCAACGATAAACGACTGGCGAAGCAATATGGTATCAAGAACTTCCCGGCTCTCACGTACTTCCGCGAAAAGGAGCCGATTATATACGAGGGTAACTGTCGGGGGTGCAATCAATTGAAAATCTTCTCTTTAATAGTTTTCGGAAGGTATTACCGTTCCGGAACACGTTTTTTCGATCGTTTATTTCAGGTGACTTGATGGACGAGGAAAACGTACTGGACTTTCTCACGAGTTTGGAAGCGATGGATCTGCCGGATCGCATCGAGGAAGTGAACGCAAAAATTTTAGCGAAGATAGTCGAGGATACGGATTTCGTAGCCGTTCTTTTCTGTGAGTACGGCTTCGTTTGTCTCATCTCAGTTACAATATTTGTATCACTGAAACTGCGGGTTAATGCACAATCTATCGTGTTTTCTCCGTTGTGATCTCCAAATCTTATCAATTTTATATAATTTTTTTTTTTCAAATCAATTTTATTATCGAGCATGCGCCCTGTTTCTATCTCGCTCTGTCCTTCGAATTCTTGCAATACGAAACGGGAAAAAAATGTCGAGAAAAATCGAGCTGTGAAAAACAAATGTGAAAAAACTAGGTTCTAGGCTAAGTAATCGTGTCAGTCGCCGCCCGAAATCAACGGAACACACAACGACGCCTACGTAATGTACCCCGTCCGCCCCTATATCCGTCTGCACCTATATCGTTTACGTTTAATATAACTCCCGTTATTGTCTTATACTAATCAACTTGTGCACGTCACGTGTGACGACGAAATTGTTAAGTGTACGTGAGATATATGTGACAAATGATTTATCAATGTATATACATAAAACACATATATAAAAATCGTAATTAACTCTATTCCGCGCGAATTTCCAAATAACCACCTCCGCCGTACTCACGCGCGCATCGTCATCTCGGCTGATCGCATCTTTTCCAATTATCGTCGCAATCCCATGTTTCCTGTGTAATCGTCTCCAACTCGACACATGTACGTACACCGAAAAAATTGTATTCTTGTTTTGAGGAGATATCCCACTTACTTTAAGTATATTTTATACTAAAATAGGCGCCAAGAAGAGTTTCTTATTTTAAGAGGAAAATTCTCTAAATAGTAATATTGATAAGAATATATACTGATTAGAATATAT